CTACTGGATGATGCTGCAGTAGGGGTAAGATATGATGGTACTGGAGAGGCCTTCTCTGCTAATGGGGGTACTATGGAGTGTCGATCTTCTTTACTACCGGTAGGAGCTAAGATCGCTGTGGGTGCCGGTATAGTCTTCTCTCTTTTCCTATTTGGACAAAGTGAGTCAGCACAATACTGCCAAGAAGAACTATTATTCCACTGATCAGTTCTTTTGTTCTTGTTGTAGGTGTTAAGGGACCTAACAGCTGAGGATCAGGAGTTCAATGATTTAACTGGTACTAGGACTAATACATGCTATAGTCCTACTGATACTAGAGTTGCAAACTGAGCCACTATGTCCGATAGCGGTTTGAGAACGTATACTGGTTGAAGCCAAGCTTCAGACTAAGACTGGATAGACAACTGAGTCTATTACTGAGAGATGTCCCTATGAAAGTACTGGTAGGACAAGAGGACAAAACTTAAAAGTACAGTAACAGGAGGTAGTGCTACTTAAATAGGCAACACGAATAGAGTTTAATAAGTATGAAACACTGAGTTGGATCAGTGATGTACAGGAGACAGGTGTTACTGGGTTGTATCAGTGATGGAGACAAAACATGATAGATATGAAATGCAATGTAAGTAGGACATGGGACAAGTGACAAGTGATAGATATGAAACACTTGATGAAGCATCAAGTGATGGGATCAGAAGTATAGTACAGGGTCAATGACGAATAGTTAGGAAAAAGAAAGAAACCCCCTATGAAGCTGTAACAAATTTAGTGCAAAGTTCTCTGAACATTCGTGATGCAAACTGTGGTCCTCTGTCGGAGATAGCTTTGATGGGTAGTCCAAACCTTTGGAAGACATGGTTCTGATACAGGGTGGCTGTCTCGGATGCTGTAGCTGTCTTGGTGCAGGGAATGAATACCAAGGCTTTGGTACAATCATGATCGGTGACTACTAGACAGCTGTCAAAGCTGTTACTCTGAGGAAGATCCATGATGAAGTCCATAGCAATGGATTGGAAGGGAAGGTGATATTCCGTTGAAATGGGCACTAGATCCGGGGAGTTCCTATGTGTGATAACTTTATTTTCTTGGCAAGTTGCGCAACCAGTGACGTAGTTACTGACGTTGTGCGCAAGAGTGGGCCACCAGTAGGTTCTTTGGAGAATTTCCTGGGTTTTGTACCATCCAGGATGTCCTGTGGTAGGAGAATCATGGGCCTCTTGAATGAGATCCTGTCACAGTTTAGCGTCCTTGGGTATGTAGACTTGTCCTCTGAATATCAACAGGTCATCTTGAATGTCCCAGTTAGGAGGAGTACGCTTGTCCGTGGAGGAAGTATGCTGTAATGCTAGCCAAAGTCTGTGATCAGCAATGTTGTCTTTGGTTTTGCAGGTCAAGATGTGTTGTTTGATGTCGGTGTTGATGTGTTCAAGATTCTGAATGGCTTGAATGGGGACTTCTGATGGAAGAAGGACTTCTTCCATAGGAAGTTCACCTCCCCCCTTCAGATGCATCTTGATCAATACGTGACAGCGCATCCACCTTACCCAACCGTGTCCCAGGAACATGGCGAAGGCAGTAATTGAACATGGATAGATACAGCGCCCATCTCGCTTGTCGAGGATTCAGCTTCTGGAGATCTTTGAAATACGTCAGATTCATATGGTCTGTCAATACTTCCACTGGTTCGGTACATCCTTCAATATAGTGCCACCAGGCTTTGAAACATCTGATAATTGCTAAGAGTTCTCGATCATAGATTTTGTATTGTTGTTCTATGGGAGAGAATGACTGGGATAGGAAGGCACATGGATGCCATCTCCCATCAGATTTTTTTTGAGAGAGGATGCCACCGGACACTTTCAGGGAAGCGTCTGATTCTATTCGGAAGGGTTTGGTGATGTCAGGTTGTACCAAAAGTGGTCGAGTCTTGAAGCATTCCTTTAGTTGACTGATAGCTCCATCATGATCATCAGTCTAATCCCACTTGATTCCTTTCACCAATAGATCAAATAGGGGTTGTGCCACCTTGGAGTATCTGGGAATGAATCTTCGGTAGAAATTGGCAAAACCTAAGAAGCATTGCAGTGCTTTGATGCTGTCAATCTTTGGCCAATTTAGTACTGCTGATACCTTATCTTCTGCCATCCCTATTTGTCCTGGTTGGAGAATGAATCCTAGAAATTTGACTTCTGATATGTCAAAGAAGCATTTCTCGGGTTAGAGAAAGAGATCTGATTCTTTCAGCCGTTGAAGGACTAGTTGAGTGTGTTGCCGATGTTCCGAATAATTGGTGGAGTAGATGAGGATGTCGTCAATGTAGATCACTAGCCATCCTTCTAAGAGCAGATCAGCAAAGATACCGTCCATCATGCTTGAAAGGTGGCTGGAGAGTTTGTCATTCCAAAGAACATGACAGTTGGTTTGAATAATCCTCTTGGCGTGATAAATGCTCCTTTTAATTCGTCACCTTCTTTGATGCGTACATTGTTGTAGCCAGCGCGTAGATCAAGCTTAGTGAATATTGTTGGTTTAGCGGATGCGATGCGATCTAATAGGTCTTCTACTCTTGGTATAGGGTAGGCATTCTTGATGGTGGCATTATTAAGTTTCCTGTAGTCCTGGCATGGTCGGAGATCTCCGGATTTCTTGTTGACAAAGAAGAATGGGGATGCCATAGGAGACTTTGATGGACGGATGTAGCCCTTCCGTAGGTTTTCCTCAATGAAGGTATCTAACTCCTTAAGTTTGGCTGGTGAAAGCGGATATACCTTTCCTTGTTGGGGCTTAAAACCAGCTTCTAGATTGATCGCATGATCCCAGGGTTTTCCTTCTGGCAATTGTTCCGCTGTGCTTTTGTTAAATACAGAGAGGAATGTTTTCAGGTATTCCAGGATATTGCTAGCAAGGGTTTTGATTGCTCGTAGAAGTTGATCCCAACAGAAGCGCATCTTCCCAGTGATCCAGTCAATTACTGGATTGAAATGTTTGAACTATGATAGACCTAAAATAATTGGGTTCCTATCCAATACTGTGGCATAAGCTTCTATCTTCATGGGTTGTCCCGATAAAGATATAGTGAAGAAGACTTTGTGTTTGATGGCTGTGGCTTTGTTTGGTGATCCATCGACATTAAACACTGGCCTTGGTGGTATACTCTGATGCTGGAGATTGTGATCCCGAGCGAACTGAATGTCAATGTAATTGTCCATTGCTCCTGTGTTGAGCAATGCCTCAGTGGTGACGATTTTGGCATAGGTTTTCAATATACAAGGCAAATAAATAGATTTATGAGCTAGTCTCACCTGATATAAATAGTCCTTGGTGCCAGTACTTCAATTCAACATCACAGCAATCGAAGACTTCAAAAATCCTTCTCAGAGGTTATAGCCTGAATATATTCTTCGGTTATCCCTTCCTCATCGGAAGAATCCTTGGTTTCATCCTTCTCCTGAGTGGATATGTTGTGGGATTTGATGGCCCTGATGCAATTGTTTAGGCATTGGCGACTCTGATGCCCAGGTTTGTGACATCTGAAGCATAGCTTCTTGTCCATATGCTCCTTGTGATTCTTGTCTGACAGGCGTCTGATCCGTTGGTCCTTAGATGATTCTTCTCTAGTTTCGATTGCTTGGTTGCGACATACAAACTTGTTGCGGTTGTGACCAAAAGATCGATTGGAAGATGTCATGAATAGGGGTTTATCACCAAAGATGTCAATCATAGATTGACAGATAGATTGAACACTGTTTAGGTATCCTATTGCAGTGACTGGTAACGGTGGCTGAGTGGCAATTTTGAGGAGTAGAGCAGGAGGAATAAGATGTTGGAGTTCTCAGATTTTCCCTAGTTCATTTAACCCACTGGCCTGTAAGAGAGGTCGAAGAGTAGTAACGAATCTAAGACCATTTCCTCCACACTTATCCCAGGTGCACTTGCTGATCTCGTTCAATGCTGCCTGGGTGTCATCTTCTACTCTGAAGGTCTGAATAAAAGACTTTCTGAAGCTAGCCCAGCTAGGTAGTCCTTTAAGTGGCGTATCTTCAGTATCAGAGATGGGTTCTTGTGCGTCATTGATGATTGTATGGACAAAGAATTGAGCAGGTCCCTTGATATATGAAAGGGTGCATTGAACCTTATCTTTATCGGTCTGAATCTTCTTGGAATTCTCCTCAAAGTATAGGTATAATTTGTCCAGGAATTCTGTCACAGAATTTCATGGCGTCTATCTTATCTACAGCGCTTAGATGA